CCCCAAAACCCCAAAACCCCAAAACCCCAAAACCCCAAAACCCCTTTGATGGCCAGAGTTATTGAGAATTCATATTCAGAAACAACTTTAAAATAATTTCATTTATATACAAATTTAATAATGGAGACATTAGAAGATAATGCCCCTTCAGAAAACTACGAGAACCCTCACCTCCTCCGGTTAGAAGGAGTGAAAACATTTGATGCTGAAGAGAAACCAAAGAGGAATCTTTGAGTGGCTCTATCCACTCATTTGATTCACCCAGATTCAACTGGGAAATCAGTATGGGATCTGATCATTATCATTTTCTCTGTGTATAACTCATTGCTGATTCCTTATGAATTTGCATATAGTATGAAGAATCATATTGTCCTTCAGATTTGAGACAGGATGATCGATGTAGCCTTCATTATTGATATATTCATCCATTTCAGGACAATGTACCGGAACTCTTACACTGATGAACTTGTCAAGGATGGTAAATAAAATCGCCATCAACTATATCCTCTATGGAAGGTTTGGAGTGGATCTAGTGGCCTCATTACCATTAGAAGTGGTCGTGTTGATCATTCCTTCCAGTACTGTAGATCTCAGGATTTTAGGAATGCTAAAACTTGCCCGATTATTAAGATTAGGAAGGCTCATAACTCTTCTAAGAGCAAATCAAAAACTTAAATTCAGTATGAAATTAGGGCAGCTTGTATTCTTTATTCTTATGATAATGCATTGGATAAATTGCTTATGGTACCTCGTAGCTGACAAGCAAGAGACTTGGTTTCCTCCCAAGGACTTGGACTTCCAAGCTACGGATGCATACACAGCAGGGAAGTACAGCAGATATGTGCTGTTTAATTACTACTCTGCTATTATTTTACTGGGTAGTGAAATACTCCCAACTACAAGCACAGAGCTACTGGTAGCCACTCTGCTTGTATTCTTGTGAACTATCTTTATCGGTATCATTATTGGTGAATTTGCCTCACTTTTGTCAGCAATTAATAGGAATGATAGAGTCAGGAACGAGGAAATTGATATCATTAGTACAATTATGCTGAGTCTTCAGCTATCTGAAGACCTTCAGGATCGAGTCTATCAGTATCACGATGGTATGAATGACTCTCAATATGTTTCTGATGAATATACAAAACTAATAAAGTACTATCAGACTAGAGATGGGCTAAAATAAAATACAATTTTTGGACGCCAAAAACCCTCTCGAGTTTGAATCTTTTTGTGAGAACCTAGAAATATGATACTTTCTACCAGGTGATATCATCCTCAAGCAGGGATTGCTCAACGATTATGTCTACTTCATAATAGAGGGTCTGGTAGAGGTTCTTCTTGAACACAACGACTTTGAATATTTTGACCATAAATAAAGTCCAACAATTTATTGCCCATGAAAGAAAAGTTGAAGAGGGAGAGCTTGACGACATTGATGTAGAGGAGGAAAAGAAAAAGATCCAGACTGAAAAATAACCTTACTAATGTCTTTCTCGAAGCTCTTAGAAAGGCCAAACAGAGCTCTAGAGAAGAAAGAAAAATGAATAACCCTGATATAGTAGTGACTCACAATGATGAACAAGTAGCTTTACCAATGCAACTGAGAAGTTCTAAGGATACTCAATATATGACTGTTAAAGAGAATTTGGTCTCTGAGGAATCACTTGACTCTGATAGGTCCATTGGGGATTTTAGGATCAGCAAAACTACTGTCAATAATAGGCCTAATAAGGTATTTCCTCTAGAATTGCCAGATGAGCAAAGCTCTCGTGATAAAATGTTGAAGTAAGAAACCCTCTGGAAACCTTCATCGAATCGCATCTGCTCCGATTAATATGATAAGCAGGTCGAGTGCGAGAGAAGATAAGGAGAAGGATGAGAGAGCAAGGGTTAATATTATCAACAAGTTTTCAAAGATAAATCAATCCAAGAATTACACCACTCTTAACGAGCTGAAGCCAGGAGCTTATTTTGGGGAAATTTCATGCTTATACTCAATCCCTATTACTGCTTCAGTCTGTACGGTGTCAGAATCCATCTGTGTGAGAATGCATAAAGAACATTTCACCAGATTTCTAGATACTCATATGAAATGAAAGATGAAGGTCCAGAAAGTAGTGCATGAATATCGTGACCCTCTGTTTAGGACACTTCATAAAATAGTAAGTTATATCCCAAGTCTGAGAGGAATCTCAGAGACAACGACTCATGCTATCTGTCTTAGGCTGTGAACTGTCAGAATGATGGAGAAGAAGAAGATCATAAGGTATCTCCAAATCTGTAGGAATATCTATTTCGTATTTTCTGGAGAAGTTAGAGTCAATATCGTTATTCCAAAGACTCAAGAACGAGTGCTATTTCTGATATTAAAGGCAGGATCTTGATTCAACTTCTACAACTCTATATTGGAATATACCTCTTTGTTTGAATTTGTAGCAGAGACACACTGCTCTTTACTAAGGCTAAAGTACGATGATCTGGAAGACTTGTCCAAACAGGACATTACCCTGAGAGAATGTCTTGACAACATAAGGACGAATAACATTGTTATTGGGACAAAGTATGATTTCTTCATTCCAGCATTCAAGCCTTCTGGATCAAGTGCATGTAATACTCCAATGATGCAGTCAAGTCGAGGAGGTGGTAATAGCTTAAGTCAGCCTCCGCAACCCTCAATGCATCGAAGAAATGCCAGCAATCTAAACCTAAGCGCTGTTGATTTCCTAGGCTCAAGCTTGTTTAACATCCCTCTTGGAACACTCAAGAAGATGAAAGAGTGCCGAAAGTTGGTAATTGAGAAGCTCAGGGAGGCTAAGAAGACCTTTGAAGTTATTGACCAGAATTACGATTCTATTGTGTCCGATAACGCTAAGCAAGTAAATAACGCATACATCAACAAGGCCATGACCGATAGTATTAAAGAAGCCAAGAGGAACCTCAACTTTTTGGAAAACATGAATCTGATGAAAAAGCTGGATGGCCAAATTTCTGAAATAGAGAAAGGTACAATTACAGTAATAGCTATAGATTCAATGGAATTGAAGAAATATGAGAGGCAGAATGACAGTTTTGAGCAAGGTGACACAAAGTCCTTCACCCAGATCATGAACAATTTCGTAAGTGATGAAGATGAACACGAGGTGAAGATCCGGACTAAAATAGCCCCGATTAATAAAGTTAGCAAGAGATCAAGAGGCAAGCATAGCCAAAGGTCCAATTTTAAGCTGCCTCCTTCCAATAAGTCCTTTGATAAGCATGTTAAGTAACTTCTTGTAGTTTTAGGTTGGTATAGGCTACCCAAGATTTCATCAAAAGTTAAATTCGAGGAATGTAAAACAGACCAGAAAGAGAAGGATGATATTAATGAGAGCTCACTCTTCTCTGAATTTACAAGGTATGTAGCCCTAGTATAATGAAACTTACTTCTGTCCAAATGTGTTAATCTTAAATGTTCTACTTTAAAATGGAAAATTATCTGGTCGTTAGGGATAACTTGAGTTACAAGAACAACCAATCCACTCAGTACGGGAAGCTGGAAGAGAGTATGAAGAAGGTCAATGAGTACCTTGACCAATCGATTGGGTAAGTTCAAGAAGTCCTTTTGGTTATCCCCTTTCTTTTCTTATTATGCATAGCGTATCCTCTTTCAGAGTAAAGGAAATTATCAAAAAGACAAGCGAGCTCTCATTGAATTTACAAAGACAATTAGGTGGGATAAGCAACAACAGCGGGAGGATTTCCTCAAAGGTATGTTTCATTCTAATCTCTATTAGGAAAAGCCATTGAAATCGCCAGACTCTTGAGCAGTAACCCACAGAGACCAAAAGCCATCAACTCTGTCTCATACGCAGTTATACAAAGGTGGTATTTCCAATCGATTTTCTACTAACTTGAAGACAGACAGAAACTCTAATACAGGAGAGTGAATTACTTCCTTACCAAAGCAGGATGATACTGTGTAGAACTATCTTCTCCAGCGGGTTAATGTCTTTCTACTAACCAATTTTATCATAATATTCCTAAGTGGCCAAACACACAAGAGGCTTTGTTAGCAATCTGCCATATAAAATGCATATCTCTTTTATCGAACTGTCCAAAATAATTAGGTTGATTAGAGTAATGATAATCAAAAATTAAGCCTTGCTTCTCTACTTTTGAACTGTTTTTCAAAATTTTCAACTGTGAATTCCTTAGATGGCTAAGTTGCTTAGTCATCTCCTTTCGCTTTCATTCCTCTATACCAAAATACTTAGGAGTCCCATATATCTCGCAGGTAGAAACCACGTTAAAATTTGAAAAATTCAATGAGAAAGTTATGGATTGGGGTTTTGGGGTTTTGGGGTTTTGGGGTTTTGGGGTTTTGGGG